GCGCATGCTCGCTTGGATTGAGGCCATCTTCAACTCGGGAAGCGACCGGATGAATGTCATTGGAAGGAGGGCTTTGAAGAACCTGATCGTTCACAACCAGGAGGTTCCTTACCTGATGGAGCACTGCATCGCGCGGTGTTACTTGGCCGACGTCCCGAAGGTCCTCGAAAGCTATTTTGCCGTCGTTACTCAGGTTTTGCAGGATCACATTGATTATCCGTGTCCGTTCTGGAAACTGCTTGGTCTTTGTCTCTTTACGCTTGGCAATGACCAGAGTGAGATCAGGTCCAAGTCTGCGACTGTTCTACGATCTCTGGAATCACGCCAGCAGAGGAACTCGAAGATCCAGGATTTCGACATCAGTATTACCGACAAAACACAGGCTGTCTACAAGCTTGCACAGTTTGAAATCTCCAAGCGTCTTGCGAAGCAACACACCGAGTTGGCTTTCCATATCTTCTCCGAGTTTACACTCTATTTCAAGGACCTGCAGCCCGCAGCTCAACGGAACGTGGTTGCTGTGATCCTCCCCTGGATTCAGTCCATTGAACTGAAGTTGGACCCCAATGGAGGCCCCACGGCACAGTCTTTCGTGCTGCTTGCAAACTTCCTGGAGATCACAATCAAGTCCAGCGGTGCGCTGCACAACGAGGTCCAAGCTCTCTGGCAGGCTCTTGCAACAGGACCATATCCAGGCAATGTCCGACTAGTGCTGGATTTCATCATGCAGCTGTGCCTTGAGCGTCGAGAACAAAACTTTGTCGAGTACGCCAAGCAGATTGTCGTCTTCCTGTCCACAACGAACAGCACACCAGGTATCAAGGTTGTCGAGTTCCTTCTCATGCAGATTACACCGAAAGCCATGGTGCCGAACGAGAAGCGAGACGCGGTTCCGCCGCCGCCTGACATCAGTCTTCTGCCTTACTGCGCTGATCTGGCCGAGGCTCTCCCGGTGGGTACCAAGCAAGCTGGGTTCTCCCTTGGTCAGCTGTCGTTGATTTTGCTTGTGGACTTGATGGTGTCTCCGGTACACCTCACGCAGGAAAATGTCCCGCTTCTGCTTCAAGTGGTGACTGTCCTGTGGGATCACTATACACCTCTGGTTCAAGAACAGGCCCGAGAGATGCTCGTGCACCTGATCCACGAATTGGTCATATCTCAAATCGACGACCAGACCCAAGAAGTCGACAGGGCGTCTATCGAGAACTTGATTGATCTTGTTCGTCAACATGACCGGTCTGTGGTCTGGGGATACGAGGACAGCAATGGCAAAGTGGACGACCATGACAGCAAAGTGCCACCGAGCATGGAGTTTCTGACGGCAGAAGTAGTCAAGACGTTTGAAATCACATTCCCCGGGATCAAGGACCACTGGGGCCGACTATCATTAACCTGGGCCACGTCTTGTCCGGTTCGCCACCTTGCTTGTCGTTCGTTCCAGATCTTCAGATGCGTCCTGACTTCAGTTGATCAGCTGATGCTCGGAGACATGCTTGCACGATTGTCCAACACGATTGCGGACGAAGACCCTGAGATTCAGTCCTTCTCAATGGAGATCTTGACAACTCTGAAAACACTCATCGTCAAGCTAGATGCAGACAATCTTCTTAGCTTCCCGCAATTGTTCTGGACTACGTGTGCTTGCTTGGAATCCATCAACGAACGCGAGTTTCTTGAAGCTGTCGAGATGCTCAACAAGTTCCTTAGCAAGCTGGACTTGAGCCTGCCTAGTGTGCGCAGGATACTTGCCGAGGGTCAACCAGCCAGATGGGAGGGATTGTTTGATGGCGTGCAGCCCTTACTTCACAAGGGTCTGAGATCCTCTCTTTGTTGGCAACCAACCCTCGACACAATGGACAAGCTAGTACATCTCCCCAGCGATGGTTTGATTGGCGACGACACTCGACTGTTCTTCTCTTTGCTGGCGAATTTCCCCCGGTTCTTGAACGAGCTTGAGAAGCCTAGCCTAGGCGAAGACGTCTTGCACACAGCCAAACTACTTCTGGACGAAGCTGATCGTCAGGGACTGGCTAGCATCGCTTTGGCTCTGCATGACTTTGTCTCAGGGAAGTCTCAAGGCAGCAGCAAAGACTTCATCCTTGAGCTTTGGGGGGCCTTGAGGGAGTACTATCTCCCCCACCTCGACTTCCAAATGGTAACCTTCCTCATCGGACTCCTCACAAACTCTCTATCTTGGGTCAAGATCCATACGATGAGGATTCTCTGTGTTGCTATCCCCGAGGTAGATATGCGCAAACCAGAACTCGCTGGCCATGGATCCGATCTCATCTCGCCATTGCTTCGCCTGTTGCAAACAGAGTTTTGTATGGAGGCGCTCGAGGTGCTGGACAACATCATGACCATGTCTGGCAACCACATGGATAAACACCATCTGAGGATGAGCATGACGCGATCAACATCAAGGGCGATCCGCAAGGAATATGAGCGCACGCAGAGCCTGTTTGGAATTCCCGAAGCGTCAGGCTGGGCCATTCCTATACCCGCGAAGAAGACGGATGCCACTCGTGCCAATATCCATGCCGCCTTCTACACCTGCCAGGGCTCAGAAGGAATGTTGACAGAAACCTCGCCAACTCCCGACGTGGAGTTCCATGCAGACGACTTCCCCTACGGCTACTTTGGGGCGTCGGAGCGAACCGAGACGATGCTTTCTGACGAGGGTCGTGGCGATGTTCATGTTGGCGACCTCGCGACCAAACTGGACAGTCTCGACGATTTCTTTGATGAGCCGTCAAGCCCTACTACTGACGACGACGGGCGATCATCAAGGACAATTACTGAGTATACGCCCGAGTCTTTTGAGACTGGAGCGCAACTATACGATGAGCAGATCCTGCCCATTTTGCATGAAGCTTCCAACAACACATCATTCCAGAACGGGTTTGCAGACCGTTCCCCGGCCCTGTCAAGGGAAGCAAGCTCAAACACGATGAACCCCGGGGCCTTCAATGTCATTGTTCCTACTACGCGGCCTGGGCTTCATTCTAGATCGATCACGTCCCCATCCGCTCCGGCTTCTTATCAGCCACAGATGGGGGACATTGCTTCGGACGACGAGTACGTGGGAGGATTCTCTGACGCTGATGATGAGCGACCCAGCACAGGGCACACAGAGGGCGCCTTTTTCTTGGAAAACATGATCAAGCCTGTGACTAGAAGGCCGCAGTCGAGAATGCGACGTGTAACACAGAGCAGGTCGAGAGATGAGAGGAGCAGGGAGAAGCCGCCACCACAGCCAGCGTCACGCTTGGCGAACAACATGTTTCCACCCAAGATTTCAAATCAAGGGCAGGGCGACATGCTATGAGGATATAGAAAGGAAACTGATGTTGACGGCCGCACCGCATGTATTTGAACGTTGAGAATGTTGTATGATGTGTAGAGAGAGCATTTGTTGCATCGGCGCTGGGGATTTCTGTAGTCGTGACTCGGATAGGCATTCCTTGGGAACATTGTTTTTCAGCGATACAAAAAAGGAACTGGAAATGATATTTTGAGAAGATGATTCTTCTTTCTCAGCAGCTCTACTATTATTGTTCCCCCTTGTCTTTGTTGTGATTGACCTCAATTGAGTGGTATACTGGCTTAATGCATATTGTGATGTTATTGGCTCGCGATCAACGAATTTTCATCTGAGCTTCAAGGAAGCATTCACAACACTCGCTCATGGAATAATGTCTGTATTGTTTCGAGGCGCTCAAAAGGCCTCGAGACGCTTCATATTACCGTCGAAATGGGGTTCTACAAGTCTCGGGGTGCGGCACATTAGCAACAAAAACGGCCAAATGCCCAACCCCTTGCAGCTGATATACCCCGAAGCTCCGAACAAGGGACACTCGGATCTCGCCACGTTTCTGGATTATGTCGAACGCACGAGTCTAGACAAGAGGACAACCGTATATCGGGGCACTCACTACGAGTATACGGTCGCCGACACGCTCTCTCAGTATGGCTTCTTCCTCAAGCGCGTGGGAGGCGCCTCGGACCAAGGCATGGATCTCCTCGGAACCTGGAAACTGCCGTCGACCTCAAAAACGATAAAAGTCATTCTGCAGTGCAAAGCAGGCGTGCGGAGTGTAGGCCCGATGTATGTACGCGAGCTCAAGGGCGCTCTGGCAGCAGCACCGCCGGGGTGGAGAGGCGCGGACACCTTGGGTCTGTTGGTGGCAGAGAGGCCGGCAACAAAGGGGGTGCAGCGCGACATGAACTCAGCCGAGGTAGCGCTGGGGTATGTTTGTTGCTCTAAAGAGGGAGAGTTGGTGCAGCTCCTATGGAACTATAGGGCGCAGGAGATGGGCTTGGAGGGAATCTCGGTCGGTGTCCGGCATGGGGTGGACGGAGAGGAGAAGAAGTTGGTGTTGATGAAGAGAGGCAAGATTCTCCCGATGTTGGAAAAGAGGACACCCGAGGAGCAGGAGTCGAGCATACCTGTTGACGGTTGAAAGATGACGACACCGCGTTCAGGCTCGGGCTGTTTCCGAGATGTGCATCTGAGAGAACTCTGCTTGTGCTATCAGCCAAGCGAGCAGTGCACAACAGCAATATTGGTAACTAGACAAGACTTATGAAGCAATTCAACTCCCCTTTCCAATATCAACGCCTTCATCCTGGTGCTGGGTCTCTGGAATTGCCTGACAATCACGACAACTTGGTTGGGACTCATTTTGTATCACAACCGTTGAATATCAGCTGGTGATGACTGGATTTATACTTCCGAGGGACGGTTATCACGACATGCGCTTGTCATGGAAAGGGCGTTGTTCAGCATTGGGTAACGATAACGAATAAATAGTGGAGGACTAACCATGGACACTCTAGATCTGCACCCCGCACATTAAGCTTGACCTTTTCAATTCCGGGACCGGCACCAGCTTTATCTATTCTCATCAAACTGGATCAATCCTCCACTCAAAACTCTGCTCCGTGTCATTGAGCAAAGGGACAAATGGAGACGAGGTCTAGCGGTACTCGATCACGGCATGGTCTGTCTCGTTCTGTTCGGTACGGCTACTTCCGCGAGCTGACAAGTAACAGGATGCCTGACATGCCGGCGGAGGCATAGAAAATGTGATGAAGAAAAGCCGGCCTGCAAAGTTTGTCGAAAGACTGGTCGGGAATGCGAGTATGGCTCCGACTTGAAATGGGCCGCAGTTGGCCACGCCTCGTCCTTTGCAACAAGGCACAATAAGAGAGTGAGGGAGAACCCGGCCCGGCGACGTCTCGACGACGGTTCTCAGCGATCAAGGACTCTTTCAGACGCCTCAAGCCAGTTGCGTCTAAGTGACAACGAACCCTCTACTGTGCTTCCAAACTCAACGACCAATCAGAACAACAACCCTGGACTGGATATGTTGATCTCGTCATCTATGGACCTCACACCTTGGGAAGACCCTGTCCCCGATCTGGCTTGGAGTTCCTTGATTGGTGTGTCTCTTGGAGCTGATACTCTTCCTGAACCTCTTGAGCCATCTTTCCGTGTCAACACGACGGATAATAATCAAGAAATCGAACCTGAAGTGCCAGTGACGAGTGAGGTTGACCCAATTATCTCGAGGCCAACCCCCCTGCCAACCAAAGACTCATTGGGCCCTTTACTATCCGCAACTCTATCATCCCCGAGTGAGGAGATAGCCTATACTTACTGTATGCCTTACCCTATGTTAACCCATCCTTCATTTGCTAACTTCTGTATGTAGACCTCAACCATACCTCATCACGAATACCCGCTTACGATGGACCCCACAACCCCTACCGGAAACTCTGTCTCGTCTCCGTGTCTTATCCACTGCTTTTGCACACCATCCTATATGTCTCTACCGTGAGCATGTTCAACTATGGGCGCACTGATAGCTCTCTGATTGCCAAGCACCAATCTCAAGCATCAAGCTTGTTGCAAAATGCCACTGCGTTTCTCAGAGCAGAGAATGGGAAGCCAGGCCAAGAAATGTCTGGTCAGAGCCATGCACTATCTGTCCTTTCTCTTAGGGAGGTCACTCTCGCAGCATACCTGATGCACATCGTGACCGAGGTCATGTCTGGCAGCCAAACTGCAGAGACCTTTCTTCAGAACGCCTATCAGCTCATGATTGAGTTGGGGTATATCGAGAGCATGCCAGAGAGCTACTATGCCCGACTTCTCGTTCACAGATTCGCAATTATCGATGTCGTCCTCGCTTTCTTACGACGACGAAAACCTATTGCACCCATGAGCTTTGTTCTTTATCAGCAATATGAGGAAATGGACCAAAATGAGCCGTCTTTTCGTGAGCTGACTGGCTGTCCTCAACCAGTTCTTGCCTACCTGGCTAGGGTATCCCATCTAGCCTATGACGCAGCGGCCTATCAAGGGGATGCCTCATCGTATCTGGCAGAGGCCTATCAACTCGAAACCGAAGTGCGCATTTGGGGACAGAGATATCCTGTTCCATTTGCTCAAGGAGCTGATCAAGCAAGCACACAGATAAGCCCAGCAGACGATCGCAAGGATCTCGACACGTTAAGTGAGTGCTTCTACTGGACGGCACAACTCTTGCTGGCGAGAAGAGTGTTTCTGGATCCGACATCATCACCCCGAGTCCAATTTCTGAGAAAACATTTGTTCAATCTCATGGATCGTCTCCCAGCGGGCTGTGGGCCAGACTCCTCACTCCCATTCCCGTTTTATATGGCTGCTCGCGAGGCCATGACTTCTGAGGATCGTGACTGGGTGCGGACAAAACATGTCGAGATGATTAATGTGTACAGTGATAGATCTAGAGAGATCATGATGGGATTGACCGAGGAGATATGGAGTAAGGCAGACGAGGCTGTAAATGGGGGTATCTCGGGCGGGCATGGAGGCTTGGTTGTGTTGGAGAACGACATGTATATACATGTGTTGGATACGGTAGCTTCTCACTTTGTGTTTTAGATGGGAATCACAAACGGAATACTTCGGTAATATTTAATCCTTATAATACTTGTTTGTTGTAACTACAATTCCCATGTCATTTGAGGAATGTTCGTCATGATATGTCCCCTATTCCCAAAACGGAAGTGCGTCTCGCATCTCCACCACAGGTGCATCATGAGGTCTTGAGTGTAACAAACATGACGCCTCACTTGATCCTCAATGGCCGCCAAAAGAGGGGTTTGCAGATTAAGATCAAGGTATAATATGGCTACTTCTTTCTTGACCATGCCTTTAAGCCATATCGAGTAAGACTTGCCGCCTTGTGCAGGTGAGGCATACATTCATCTTAGACTGCATTACAAGAGGGAGGCTTATGTCCTAGGCTTATATATCACTCTTCTTTGATATTTCGTTATTTAGAAAGCCGTTCGCGTCTCGCCCTTCTCAGAATATCCTTCACGGTCGTTTCAATTTTTGCCTTCTCTCCGAGTTTTGAGGGGAACCCTTGCCCCTTTACATCCATCTTCTAGCTACGATAAACAATCTCGGCTGGGTCTCTGTATACAATTCGAAAGCCATGCCGACGGTCAAGGGAGACAATTTCCCCTTCCAGCTTGCGGATCCTACCCTATTCCATCAGGACTCCTACGTTCACGGACAATGGGTATCCGCAGCGTCCTCGAAGCGCTTCGACGTCCTTGATCCAGGCAGTGGAAAACTCTGGGCAACATGCCCAGACAATGGACCTCAAGACGTCGACGCAGCCATCAAGTCCTCCCACAAAGCCTTTCAAGAATACAGCGTCATGAATCCCCGCAAGAGAGCTCAGCTCCTTCTCGCCTGGCACGAACTCATCAGCAATGCCCGTGACGACCTGGCGAAGCTCTTGACGTACGAAACTGGAAAACCCCTTTCCGAGGCGCAAGCAGAGATTGAGTACTCTCTTGGCTTTACGTGGTGGTTTGCTGGAGAAGCAGAACGCATCCAGGGCTCTATCAGCATCCCTTCTGCCCCTAACAGAAGGGTCCTGGTTATCAAGCAGCCTATCGGGGTCTCGGTTGCTCTGGTACCTTGGAATTTCCCAGTTGCCATGATCCTCCGAAAGGCGGGCGCTGCTCTCGCGGCTGGCTGCACCATGGTCGTGAAGCCGTCTCCGGAGACCCCTTTGACTTGCCTAGCCCTGGCCGACCTCGCCACGAGAGCAGGGTTCCCTGACGGCGTCTTCAACGTCCTGACAACTTCTCTCGAGAACACGCCCAGCCTCTCCGAGGCCATGTGTCTGCATCCGCTGGTCAAAAAGGTGACCTTTACTGGGAGCACTCGAGTGGGCAAGATCGTCGCCGGCTTGTGCGCGCGAGGCTTAAAGAAATGCACGCTCGAGCTCGGAGGGAACTGTCCCTTCATTGTGTTTGACGATGCCGACCTTGAGCAGGCCCTCGATCAGCTCATGACGTTGAAGTGGAGGAACGCCGGCCAGGCTTGCATATCTGCGAATCGCGTCTATGTCCAGGCGGGTGTCTATGACAAGTTCGCAGCCATGTTTGTCGAGAAGACGAGCAAGCTTAATATCGGCCATGGTGCAGCCCCTGACACGACATTTGGCGCAGTAACAACATCCATCGGGCTGGAGAAGGCAGAGGCACAGGTACAAGATGCGGTATCACGCGGTGCCAAGCTGGCTCTCGGATCTGGAAAGCCATTCTCTCCCGCTGGACAGGGCAGCGGCGGCTACTTTATGGAGCCAGTTGTGTTAACCAACATGGACTCCTCCATGAAGATGAGCTGCGAGGAGACATTCGGCCCTGTCTGCGGACTCTTCAAGTTTGATACAGAGGACGAAGCGATCAAGCTGGCCAACGACACGAGTATGGGCTTAGCAAGCTATGCTTTTACCAAGAACGCCGATCGTCTGTGGAGGATGTTTGAGAAGCTCGAAGCAGGTATGATTGGGCTGGTAAGTTTTCTATCCATCAGGTTACTTGAAGTGAGACTTATCTTTTCTAGAACACTGGAAATGGTTCGGCGGCCGAGAGTCCATTTGGTGGTATCAAGGAGAGTGGTTATGGCAAGGAGAGTGGCAAGGATGTAGCTGTTGCTGAGTATCTGATTCAAAAGACTGGGACTTGGACCATCAACTAGATTATTAAATGAAAATTGTCGTAGGATATTGATATCCTGGTTGATATCCTGGTTCGCATGTTCTACCTTCTCCGGCTTGTGCTGAAAGAGAACTTGGAAGTGGATGCTGCCGTGCTGGCCGTATCTCAACGTGATCTTCATTTTTACTAGGTTTTCATGATGAATTTAGAATTACATATGAGCGCCAAGAGGTTGAGCCATCACTAATGATCTGAGTGTGAGCTGTAAATGACAACTTGACCCCAGCTACGAAACACAAACCTCATTCCCTCGCCTACATGTTCAAGCCGAAGAACATATTAACGAGGAGTCATTCCGGCTTAGAAATCACCATCGAAGGACCGGGCCGGTTCATACTTATTGGCTGTGATTGCCGGCACCACCATTATCTATCTGCGAGACGGCGTCATGGTGGATTACCGCATTGGGAAGTGCGAGTCGCAGTCCCAGTGCCGAACAAGCGCCACGAGATAGAGTCACAAGGTTTGGGTATAAGAAGTCCAAGTTGAACACCAGAGCCTTGATCAAACAATTGCATACATTCAATCTGTCTCTTTGCTACTAAGTCATCTCATTCGCAATGGCTCCCTCTGCAACGGATATCCTGCCCGAGGCCAGCAGGGCCTCTAACAAGGACCTCACTCTGTCCAAGCAAACCTCGCATTATGTCGACTTATGGTCTAAGCATGTCCGAGGAGGCTTTGCTACATTTCCTGCAAGTTGAGCCGTATCGTCTCAATTGCGCTCCTCTAACTTGTCTTAGGTGGCCGTCGAGAGTGCCCAAGACCACATCATCACCGACGTAGATGGGAAGAAGTACATCGACTTCATCTCTCAATTCGCCGTCATGAACTTTGGCTATTCACACCCAAAGATCGCCAAAGCTGCCGCTGAGCAAATTCAAAAGATGCCGCTCGTCGGCACCGCCTACATCAGCCCTCTGTATGCCAAGTTTGCGGAGCGCATCACAACGGCAAGCCCTGGCCTTTGCTCTCAATTTACATGTAGTATCTAACATGCGCAGAAATTCGGCTATGACTCCATTGCTACTATGCTTAGCGGTTCTGAAGCTGTCGAGTCCGCTGTCAAGATCGCTCGCAAGTGGGCTTATACCAAGAAGGGTATCTCGGAGGGTGAAGCCTGGATCCTCACCACTGATCAGTGTTATCACGGATTGACGCTAGCAACCATGCCTCTTGCTACCGTCGTTGCAAAGAGTAACTCACTCCTTGGTTTCTTTACTGTATCTTCATCTGACTTGTTCCTCAGACTTTGGACAACACGTTCCCAATGTCGGTCCATATGCGCCAACGAGTGGAAAGCTGATTCAGTACGGGGATGTGGAAGTGCTGGAAGAAACTTTCAAGCAAGACGGCCACAAGGTTGCAGCTTTCCTAGTCGAGGCTGTCCAAGGTTGGGCTGGGTGAGTCCTCATTTCCATCGAAACTAGAGCTGGTCGTTGACCCTAATTTTACCAGTACCCGCTTCCCACCAAAGGGATATCTCAAGGCTGTGCAGGATCTCTGCAACAAGTACAACATCCTCTTTATCTGCGACGAGATCCAGTCTGGTTATGGACGAACTGGAAGGGACTTGGCTTACCAGCACGAGGAAGGTGTCCATCCAGATCTGGTCACGCTTGGAAAGGCTGTAACTGGAGGTGAGCATCTACCCGTCCGCGCTTGTACTTCTGAGAACTAATAAGATGCAGGATTTTACCCCATGTCCGTCATTATGGGCAAGAAAGACGTGATGGATGTCCTTGGGAAGAACGAGGTCCTCTCAACCTTTGGCGCAGCCCCTGTCGCGTGCGCTGCAGCCATAGCTTCTCTTGAAGTTCTCGAGGAAGAAAAGATCTCGGAGCGCTCTCAACGCCTAGGGGAACTACTATCCAAGACAGTCAAGAAGTTGTCGCCCCCTCACGTCAAGGAACTTCGAGGAGGTGCCCTCTTTCAGTCTCTTGTTCTGGACGAGTCTGTCCCTGGCGTCACCGCTCGACGGGTTGCTGCTCTGGCAGCGCTCAGGGGCGTTTTGGTGGGCATTGGAGCTGGCCGTCTACGTTTCAGCCCGCCAATCACTATTACTGAGGAAGATCTTGTCAAGGCTATTGAGATTGTCGTGCAGGCATTGAAGGATGTTACTACCTTGGGAGACTTCCCTGGCAGCGACTTTCTCAACTAGAAAGGTTATTTTAATATAGAGAGATACTTTATGGCATGGCTTAATGTTTATCTTGTGCGGTGAAGCTTCTAGAAACAGATAACCAGTTGGGGTTTCCTGCTGAGAATTGCCTTTCAGTAGGAATTACTGTTGGATAACCAGGGTTTCTCAGAGATAATAATGATATTGTGATGACATCAATTGATCTTCCATTATTCGCGCTTTTCAATGCAATGTCTTCTTCTTGTTCGATCTTCCTGTCCCTTCGAGCCCGACCTGAGTAAGATAACTGTCGTATCTAGACATGTCCGCCATTCCTTAGAATTCCATTGGTTTTTGACGACCCATATCGCAAACTCCTTGGATCGATCGTAAGTGCCTCTGATAGTGCCTGGCACGGCCAGTGATGGAACAGCAGAGCTTGCCATTGGAAAGGTTGGGGAGCAACAGGGGCTCGGTGGACAGGGAGTGATAAATGACTCGGATTGTGGGGGATCTGGAGGAGCCCCAAGTGCAGCCGTGATTGGCGATAGTTGCGAGAAGAGACGTGCTGTCGTAAGAAATCCGATCATGTTCTTAATCGTTTATGTATATGATAAAATAAGCATCCAGCACTCTGACATGCGAGAATCAGATACTAGATGATAAAGTCCCGCAGTGCGTACACTTCGGGGTCGAGAACTCTGTACAAGTCCACACTGGGATGAATGAGGAGGCCCCTCGGAATCAATTAAAAGCATACATGTCCAAATCGTGGCAGCTCAAGTAGAGTGTCGGAGAATGCAACTGGTTGATACAAGTTACCGACAGGTCAAACGAAAAACCCCCAACATCCCTGCGTTCGAGGAGCGCGGCCACGTCTAGGGGGCCCTCGTCGGTATCTCCAATAGAGATGTCGGCGTCTTGTAAGTAGCCAGAGGGGGGCAGGCGTACATAGCCAAAGAATCATGGGTTGCTCTTGGTCGTCATGCCCTGTGCGCGAAGGGGAGTAGGTATATAATATGGATATAATAGGGGGGTAGGTGCTTTGTCAAATCGACGATACGCAGAACTCAAACAAATATTATGTAGAATTTACCAGGCCTCTGGGTCCCGGATGTCACGGCGTGATGCACTGCGCCTCTATTGTGCAGACTTTTCAGAAAAACAAATCAACAATATGCAGATCCGTGAGGCCACCTTTCGCCCTGGCCCTTGATCACCAGAGATTGCATCGTTTCGATGACGGAGAAGGCAGCCAAAGCGTTGTATAACCTCTGCCTTTTTCAGGCAGCGGTGAGTGGACCAATCTTTATGGCTGCTCCCGTTTCTCCAGCTGCTGGTATAAGGACCGAGAGAGAGAGATGGCCTGCATTGAGCCACGCTCGGATCAACCCTATTGTGATCTATATCCTGACCAAAAGCACGATTTGCCCAGCGAAATCTCGCAGGATCCCACAAATTGTATGGCTTGTTTGCGGCACATATGGCCGCCGTATATACGACAAGGTAACTCTGAGGACGTCGTATGCGCTTCAAAAAAGACATGGACTTATCCTGAAGATGCTGCAACAACCAGTGAGGTCGCGGATCGGCGACGAGATGACAGGATTTGGCAGTAACACCGATGAATTCTTGGCACATTCGAGTGAGTATGACATGCGTCTGGCATCACATCGGCCAACTGAGTAGCGAGTGCCTCCAGTTTCCCCTTGGGTAGCAAGTGTATAGCGATCTTCACCAAGATCTTAGAGAGTTCGACATTCAGAGGAAGGTCACCACCCTGTCCCGTAAGATCAAGGAAATAAAACAGAAAGTACCCTTGCTCTGTGTGAGTCAGACGGATTATGAATGCATTGAGCTCTTGGGACTTGAGGTGGTCGATAGTGTGCCCCAGTCGGTTTCTCCGTGGGCGACGGCGATGCTATATAAAAGGTACTGATTGGCTACCGCAAACCCAGGAACTCGTTGGTCGTATGGGAGGCCGTCCTGTCCACTGGCACTCGGCAAGAGGAGCAGGCCAGCCATTCAAGAGTGCTGTCGTGTATGAAGACACATACCCTCCATGTTTGTACTCGTGAATGCTGTCGGAGATATATAGAGGGCCGTAGGCAGGAGACATGTGGGGGAATTGCAAGGGATAGATCCCGTGACAAGACTGCTTGGAACCATGCGAGGACGAGTCCAAGTTATGCGCTTGGCGAGTCAGTGAGCGTTGCCAATGAATCCGATCTTCGAGCACGAACAGACGCCATCGTGTGGGTAGGAGATGTCGTCTGCACCGCCGAGTATATTAGTGAGCCCGGACTTGGATGAAGCCTGGACGTTTGTGCTATCTTCCCTACCCAGGCCCTAAGCAGATGCGTTTCGACACACAGTATGGTTTGTTGCTGGGTGCTGGGTAGTATGAATACGAGCGCAGAAACCCAGTTGGGAGACTTGGTTGCCCATAATCTTCGGTAGATGGGGGTAAAGTCGAGAGCTTCCCACTGTTGGTGTATATAGACCACAGACAGCAAGTAACAGCTGCTGACAGATGGTCATTCCATCTTTGCCTCGTTTCGACGGTCTCGCGTCCTGGCGTGACTCTTCCCGGGGTCCGGAAAAGCGAGAATGATCTCCTCATCGTTATAAGGATAAGCCTCCTCGCCTTTATAATCTCTCTGTTATAGTGTAGGAAGGTCCTTTCGATCCCGCTTGTACAGGTTGCTGCAATCGAAACTGTCATCCCCAGGGGGTGGTAAGCTCTCTATAGGAGCGGTAGTCGTCAGAGGAAGGGGTGGGTTCTGCCAAGCATCGAGCACACGCCTCAATCTTCAAACGTGTCGGAGGAGAACAACCCATAGCCTCAAGCCGTCGTTTTGGTAATATATATGGAGATTCCGGGTTTATTGTATTTTCTGGCGTAGCAGCCAGCGCGAGTACGAGTGTAATTTGCTCTCTGGGTCTTCTCTGAGACGAACTGTGGTCCTCCAGTCACATCCGTGGAATTGAATAAAGGGCCAAGGTTGCTCTGGATGGACCACACTAGCCCCCAGGGCACCTTTAGCTCCGGTGAGCGACGGTGCACAAGGCCGCAGTAAATCTCTGTTTTTGCCAGGCGAGTATATATAAACCGTTGGAACGGCTTGCCAAATCCTTATGTGCCGCTTGAGTGTTAGCAAGACAGACCGAAAAGAGTACAGATCTTTGGCGGCTTGAGACGGTTTCTCGCGAGAGGAGTATCAAGCGCCGCCGGTCTATCTACTGAGCAGCCTTTGGTCCGGAGGTTTCAGACTGCTGTCGTAGGTTGTAGCGAACTGGCAGATAATTGCTGAGTGGTAACCTTCATGTTCAGGCGTGCGAGCAAACCAGCAGAAACCCTTGATCATTTCGTCATCGTCTCTACCGTGTATAGTATATGGGTGCATAGAACAAAAGAAGCGGTTTAATACAGACGGGGGGAGGGGGTTATATACTCGTTGAGGGGTTGATTGCCATCCGATTTTGGATGAGACTGCTTGGATCTAAATTCATTCCTACTAACAAACATTTCCTTCTTCGGCAGGAGAAGAAATCATCACGTACCAACCAATAACTAGCATGCCGACTCAGGAATCTCACGTTTGATGAGAATTGCCAGCAAACTAGAGCAGTTGTGGTAGCAATAGCATCCACACACGCCCAATCCAAGAGACACAACATGAGTAAAACAGTTGAGAGCATACACTATTGGAAACATGTATCGCTTCCATGATCAATTGATTAGATTGATTGTACTTTGATTTGAGCGCTATATCCTTTTGCAAGACAGCAAGGCGCCCTGCTACAGTGATTTCATACCCCGGCACCCAAACCACCCCCTTTTCACTTACGTACAGGCCGAGTCCGAACCTTCCCAGCATTCTTCTTAGCAATCATAGCCTTCTTGATGCCAACCTTGATTTCCCTCAGCTGAGTCTCTGGTGATTCCATTTCAGGCTTCTTGGAATCCCACGACGGCTCAAACACATCCGCAAAGTCAAAATCGCCCTCGAACCCGGCATCCTCATCAGGAGCCTTCCACTGAGGCTCAACGGCCGTCCCCATCCCGTGACACTGACGACACATGCGCTCGCCGACCGGCGCGTCCCTATCCGAGCGGCACTTCCACTAACCGCCGCTCTTCTGTCGGACTGGAGTCGACCACGCAAGGCTTGGATCGTGCCATTCAAGATCCCACTTGGACCGCGCAGGAGTGTCGGGGTTGTTAATTCTTGACTCGAGCTTTCGAATGGTGCGGAGGAGTTCGTTGAACTGATCTTGGAGTTTGTAGCTCTCGAACTTGAAGATGTTGGATTTGACAAAGAAGGGGAACCAGTCGGGAATCAGAGTCGATGACTTGGCTTCGTCCTTGACGGTCGTCTTGGGTTTGGGACACAGGAACGCCTCCCAGGGAGCTGGCTCAGTAGACTCAATAGGCTCAGTAGGTGGAGGTAGTGGGAGAGAAGTTACAGGAGCGTGTAGAAGCTCCTCCTTTCGCTGCTTCCAAAACGTTTCCTGGTAGACCTTCTTGCTCTCCTTTCGGATATCGTCGAACAGAGGCTGAGTAGGATTCCGACTGCCGGCGTGCCCATGCAGGTCAGCTTCAGTGACGACATAGTCAAGACCAGTCAAGACCTCAGGCTTCTCCTTCTTAAAGACGAACTTCTCGAATCCCTTGATCTCGCGTAATGTAGCCACCTGTTCCTTCGTCGGCGCGAGATCAGCGTAGTCCCAGTTGAACATGAAGGCCGCCGCGATAGCGCCCTCAGTCTCGGCACGGTTAAGCGCCACCTTTTCCATCAGCGGTGCCAGATCCGCCTCGAGGTCAATAATCCTGTGTTGCTGGTTTCGAGTGAGAGGGTCAATGATGATGTGCCCTCCCTTGGCGGGGTTGTGATCTTCCCTGCGCGATGCCTTCTCAGCCTTGGCATATCGGGCGTCGTTGATCTTGTTCCAGGTCGCAGTAAGCTTCGCATGTTGTCGAGCGTACTTGGTATAGTCTTTGGTGTATTTCTTGCTCTGCGCGGTGAGAAAGTCTTCGAGCTTGTCGCTCTGCTCAACGTATTCTCCCATCGGCTCTTCCAGGTCGACAACCTTGGACGATTCCACAAATGTAAACGGGAACCTCTCGATGTTGGGGTATGCGTCGCGAGATGCAGGCGGGAACATCAGTCTATACGGTCCCGGGTCGAGCACAGAAGGGTCGCCAACTGGGCAAGGACCCGTGAACTGGTCCCTGAGCACCTCACGAGCAGGGGCTCCTTCGCGCTCGAGCTCGCCGCTTTTGAAGTTCCTCAGGTCGGCGGGGGTGCTGATGACCTCTATAGACGAATGCTGGTGAGAGGATGAGCTGGGCAGGTGGTGGTCTGTCGTTGGCTTCGTTGGCGAGACGGTGTCGGGTGTTGGGGAGAAGACGTCAGGTAGGTCGAGGCGCGTTTGCTCATTTTGGATGATGGCTTTGGGTAAGATATGTGGAACATTCGCAGGAGTCGGAGAGAAGACATCGGGTAATTCAAAGTGCTTCTCCTTATGAACGACGTTTTTGGGTGAAGTAGATGGACCAGCCTCGGGGCTTGGAGAAAAGACGGCAGCTGATTCGAAGCGCTTCTCGTCATGCTGGACGATGACTCTGGGGGAGATGGGTGAAGCAGCTGGGGAGCTTGGGCAGAAGAAATCAAAGAAGTGGACGCGCTTCCCCTTCTCCTGGGCGTTGGCGGGCTCATCGGGCTCGACAGGGCGCTCAATGAGCAGCGATGACGGCGGTCGTATACAGGAAAGCGAGGACTCGCTGTGGTCGAGGTCCATGATCGGATATCGCTTGGCAAACTCAGCCGAGGAGATGAAGTTTGAACGCAAGGCGATGAAGCTGTGAGGGTGGTTGCAATGATCTCTTAGAGAAGGTTGATAGCTTCAAAGAAAAGAAGCCCAAAGAGAAAAAGGCTCACGCATCAATATTCAAAGCAAAGAAGTGTCAGGGCAGTGACAGAGCCTGCCGCCGTCAGGTTCGTCAACACACCAGCTGCCATCACTGCCATGACAGTTCCCGCCAGCCTCGGCCGAAGCTGACCAACTTCCCCCTCGTTGGTGTTGCTCCATCGTCTATGAATCACACGCCAGAGGAGTAAAGAAAGAGGGGGGGGGTGATCTCGATGACTAGGAGATACAGTCGTCTGCTCCCTTTTATTCAGTCCCTTGACTCCTTTGGTTTGCTCGACTTCGGACATGAGCGATGTCCTTTGTGAATCCCCCCTTGTTCGGCGAGCCCGGTCTGTACACGTTTGATGGGATGGTTAAAATGAGATGGATATAGTCTTTCATGTGAGTAGGTCTCTCAAGCTCGTTGCTTGAGTTGCTTCCAACTATACAAGGAGGTGATACATGCCAAACCCTTCATCAAGTCCCGAGATTCTATACCGGCTTCCAGAGGACAATCTCTGAAAACCTCCTGATGCACAAGCACCAAAAGATTATCCAGCCAAACGCCCTTTTCTATAATGTTGTACATGTCTTGTTACATAGCTGACGAATAACAGCTCCTTCCGGCTCATGACCCCGTCAGACGGCCACAGGTCCGACACTGACATGCTCGCGGAGCCTCTTGGTCTCTGCCGCCACTCTTTGCCGGGCTTGCTTCTTCTGTCCCGCTTCAATCCTTGCAAACTGACCCCGGGCGCCGTGCTTGAGCTTGGTGATCATGTCGGCCGCTTTCCCCTTTGTCAGGTCGTCGACAGTCAGGGGCTTGGCCTTGCCGCGGAGCTTGTTGAGAAAGTCGACCTGCCCCTTTGTGGGAGGTAGTGAACGCCATGCCTGATAGCGGTGAATAAATTTATGAGGGAATGCTTTTGCAGCGAAGCTGTCCGCCCCGTGCACAGCGTCGGTGAATGTTGCGGCGGTGAGGATCTCTCTTGGCATCGCATAAGGTGACTTTGCCATACCAGGAGGAAGTGCGCGCACTTCGACGGCTCGAAAGATGGGCTCAGATGCCTTGATTCGCTCACTGATCTTTTCGATCCTGATGTAGGAGCCGTTTGGGGATGACAGCACAAACTTTTCCTCTCCCGCCTGAACCCAGGCGTATTTGCTGATGGCACGAATGTGCTTCTCGCCTGATGTGTCAGCGATGAGGTCCAACACGGACGAGTAGTCGGTGAACGTGACTGAGTCGGGGGAGCCTGGGCCGCCAGATGTTTGGTAGGAGAGAGACATCTGAGAGTCCACGTGCTCTACATCTTGAGACTCCTTGATCTTTGCTAGATCTTTCACTGTTGCTCTCTCAACCAACACGTTTGGATCAAGACCAAACAGCGTAGGAGTTGTCACGATTCCAGTGTCCAGACTTGACACGAGATCGATGACATGGCAATTCTTCTTTCCAGGATGCAACCGCATTCCTCTGCCAATCATCTGAACAAGAAGATTGCGTGACCTGGTTGGTCGGCCCAAGATGATGCAGTCAATATTCGGAATATCAGTGCCCTCGGTGAAGACGCCACAGTTGACTAGCACAGGAAACTCGCTGTTCCTGAAAGCATCAAGAGTTTCGCCCCTCTCAACCTTGGGGGTGTCTCCTGTGACATATCTCGCATCAAACCCATGTTTTCGGAATCGCTCAGTCAACTCGACGACATGAGCCACATCGACACAGAAGACCAATGTCGACTTTCTCCCAGGAGCTTTCGCCATCCAGCTGCGCACAGTGATGTCGTTGATTTCGTCCGTATTGACGGCCTTGGAGAGCTCACCAGGCTGATAGTCGCCAAAGGCGCCCTTCTTCACTTTTGATAGGTTGGCGTGTGATTCAACGGTCGTAAAGATGACATCCGAGAGCCATTTCTTTGAGATCATGTCCACATAGTCCTTATGGTAGACAATCTCGTCAATGGCTGCACCAATTCTAACTCCATCAAATCTTGAAAAGGTAGCAGACACACCAACCAGGTTTGGAGAGTTGTCCCGCTTCTCCTCAAGCCCAAAGTGGCCCAGTGTTTTTAGATAACCTGGCGCAACAATATGATGGGCTTCATCGACAAGCACCAGCTTGAACCGGGAGGGATTGAACTTTCTCAGTCGGTCCTGTGATGTTATGCTCCGTACGCTGGCAACAGTGATGTCGGCTGTTCCCGTGGCGTGCACATTGCCCATCTCAATCTCGATAGTCTTGTTAGGATATGCTCGTTGGCAGTGATGAGCAGCTTGCTCAACGAGCTCTCGACGATGTGCCAAGATCAAGGTTTGCGTGGCCTCCTTGGATATTGACGGGACCTTGTCGATGAGCTGTGTAAAGATGACCTGGCACTTGTGAGTTCAAGGACTTTCACGCTGTGAGTTCAACATACCGTCTTGCCACTACCAGTAGCCAGGGATATTCCCACTCTCTTATGACCCTGTTCCAAGGAATCCAGAACCGATGAGATGCATTCCTCTTGATAATCTCGAAGTTTCAGCTTTGGCTTCTTATGAGCCACAGTCGATGCGAATGCCTTCAAAGCCAAGGGGGTGGCCGCGGATGCACCCATCCTGGTACGTGGACGGAAGAGACATTTTGAAACAAATTGTAGCATTGTACATGATGAGAAACACAGCGCGAAAACGTTGAGCCTGATGCAATGTGATTGATGAAAATTGGTGATGCAGAGGTTGATGCTGGCGCAAGATTAGTAATCAGGATCAAATCTTCTGGCCAATGATCCTTGAGCACACTCACCTTTTCAGTTTTACTTTGAACGCCGTGAAGCATGGGTTGAAGCCCAGCTTCTTCACTTTTTACAAGCTTCAATCTTTTTCCATTCTTCACTGGCCTTGAATTCACTCCCAGGTCGGAACTCGCCCTAGTCCCGCCGTTGCTATCATGTTTTCGCCTTTTCACAATCTTCGACACACAAGGAACGAGGGAGCATGGAGCCGGGAACCGACTATGATCCCCTCGCTGAGGAGGGACCTGACATGGGCGACGCTGAGCTGAGAGCCCAAGTCGCACAAGGGTTACTTGGAGTATACGGCCAAGGAGACGGCCAAGGAGAGAGCGATGCCTCTGGTAGCATATACAGCGGTGACGAAATCGACACAGCCGAGGACGATCAACAGTCATCACTCAAACGCCCAGCAGAGGAAGACCCGGCACCTCGTGTTTTCAAGCGGCATAAAGGAGTTCTTAACACCGACTATCTGAACCTTCTCAACATCGACATTAAGGATGCGGCGCAGCGGGTTTGTGTCGTCGATGAAGAGGGCGTCCTCGATGCGAGCCAAATTGGCCTCACACTGTGGTCCACTCTGGAAAAGAAACTCTTCTTTGAGGCTCTCGCACGCCTAGGACAAGGGGATCTACCTGGAATTGCCTCACGCATAGGCACAAAGAGCGAAGTCGAGGTGAATCATTACCTTCACGTGCTCCAGAGGGCACAGCTTCTGAGACAACGAGAAGTCAGACGTTCAGCTATTGAATTCCCTGAGCATCCTGCAGCGATCGAGCTCAGCCAGCAGTGCTGCCATGCTCTAGAAGAAGCAGCCGACGCCATATCTGTCCGCCAGGAGCGCAAAGAAGAGCAACGGGAAGAGAGCAAATGGGGAGAATGCTGGGACATTACCCCCAAAATTGCCCGCCAACTTGATAATGGCGAGAATCGTGAAGGTCAAAACCTGCCCTTCTCGACACTTTTCCATCTTCCCACCTGGTTGGGGCTTTCTGAGCGCATCTTTATGAACTCCTCCATTCCTAGTGAGAATTGGAACTTTATCGACAACAACCCTCCTTCAATGTGGGCGACGACATTCGAGGACTTTCACTCTTTGGCAGTCTCCATAACCAGAAGACTCGTCCAAACAACCATCTTTCTCAGCATGTCCAGGATCCGAGCCAAGAAGGAAGTCATGCCTTCAACCCGCGACATCATCAGGGTAGAGGATGTCGAAACTGCAGTTGTTTCGCTAGGCCTGAAACGAAACTCTCTGAGGTTCTGGAACAAGTGTGCTCGGAGACTTCGTCTTGAGGTATACAACGAACCACCAAGCCGGGACGAAGAGGCAGATCAGGAAGCTCTTAGCTACGATCAAATTGAGAGTGACTTGCCTGGACGCGAAGACAAGGCCAAAAGGGCACTTGAGCCAAGCATGGTCGAAGATCTTTCGGATCTCTCTAATGAGGAGGTAATAGACGACTCGGATTTCGAGACAGCAATGGTCGCATCTCGCGAGGAAGAAGCCGCCATCAACCGAGAAGCCATGGAGATCCTACAGTTCTCCGCCGCCGACTTTCCAGAGACGTACCGCAAAAAGGAGTCCCTCAAGAACCGCATCGCGACAGAGAGGCGACAGGAGCAGTACGCCGAGGAGGGCGACCAGCACGTCAGCCGGCAGGCCGAGGCCGAGATGTGGGATCTCCTACAGAAGAAGCCGCCGATCGAGATGCCCAAGATGTACCAGCCGGGCTCGGCGCAGCGGACGACGCTCGATGTGGAGAGCATCTTTCCCATAGGACGGGATTGGAGGACCCAGACGAGATACCGCAGCGAGTGGGAGAGCAAATAGACGTCGAAAGACCAGACATGTACAAGCATTTACTGGGCCATGTCCATACAACTAGACGAACCATCTAAAGTAATCATTACATATTCATAATTCCATTGCTTAAGGGTATCTAAACCATAACATCCCGCCGCCAAGATGCAGAACCACCTCGACCTGAACTTCAACGTCTTCTCCGTGCTCGCGCCCTCGTCTTTGCGGGCGCAGACTTTTGTCCTTTTTTGGCACCTCTCGTCGCTTTCGAGACAGGTGTTCCACCCTCATCAGCGCTCCCTTCTTCCTCCTCACTCGACGAGCTCGAGCTGCCTTCCTCTGCTTCCTCTTCCTCTGTGGTCTCGGCCTTTTCTTGCTTCTCAGCCTTAGTCTGTGTCGCGCCCTTCTTCTTCTGTCTTGATCCTCGCTTTGTCTTTGGTGCTGGCGATGGTGCGTCCGTTCCCTCTTCAGTGTCCTCCACCGAAGTACCTCTAGTCTTGGTGTCACCTCGCTTTCGCTTCTTGGCCGGGGATGACGGTGCTGGTGAGAGATCGAGTTGCGCAGGTGATGTTGGCGCTTCGCTGGGGTCGGCAACTGCG